CTGGTTTGCGCAGGAAGAGCAGAGACCAGCTGGCGGATAAGGGCGTGGTGGGGCTCCCCTGGGCTCCAGCAGCCTTGCCAGCCGCTACCTTCTACGTTCTGACCTGGGGCTGACCTCAGGCCAGGCGCTGGGCACACATCCCAGCAGCCTATGTACAGGACAGGGTGGCTATGTCCCCACAAGAGCCTTATGGGACAGCATGGGGGCTCCCAGCAGGCAGAAGCTGGTCCTAAAGCCAGGCTGCCCCCCACTCTCTTCTAGGGAAAGCACTGCCTGCCTGCTGAAAGCAAACACAAGGTGGCTGGGCTCTGCCAGGCATGGCTAGAAGAGAGGCTGGGGGAGGGACAGTGGCCAGACACCAGCTGACCCTGAGGTCACAGGAGAAGCCAAGGCTGGGCTGGGCGACCCCACCCAGGCTGTTAGGAAATGGGAAAGGGATGGTCAGTGTGCCAGGGCAGATGGGCAGGCCCATTGGGAAATGTGGCGGCTCCTGCTTAACCCCCACACGGCCATCTGCTAGGTGGAGGGACCCCAGGGGCTGCCCAAGGAGGCCCACCCATGGGCCGGGGAGTCGAGCACAGGGGTCTCCTTTTCTGGATTCTCCAAACCTAATCAAGCACCAGCCCCTCACAGGGTGCTCCAAGGGACACCCCCATCCCCTACCTGCCTGCTGGCCCAATTCTGCAGGGCTGGGCAAGATGGCAGGGACTGGACAGGTCCCCATTGGCCCTCAGAGCTGAACCATGGCCCACCTTGGACCCTGAAGGTGGCTTCAGGGTGTACACAGCCCCCAGCTTCACCCCTGTGCCATCTACACCCAGGGCACCTGGCCGCCCGGCAGGACAGGGTTAATGGAGCCCAGGGCCAGCAGAGATGGGTTGGCCTGTGACAGGGCGCTGGAGGTGGGGAAATCCAGAGGGCAGGAACAGCCAGCCCCAGCAGACCTGCTGCCTGCTTTGCATGCAGGATGGCCCTGAGGAAAGGTGAGGTTCCCCGTGTCCCCAAGCCCACTGGGGCTGTGCAGCCCCTAGAGATGGCTTAGGTCTGGGTAGGCCTGAACTGGGAGCCCATGGGGGGAATGGGGCTGCAGGGGTGTTGGAGAGTGCAGCTGTGCCTGGCCCCAGACGGTCACCTTTTCCTCTTCTTGCCTGAAGGCCCAGGACAGCAACACAAGGAAGGCAGGGTGGTGTCTCCTTACACCCCTACCCAGGGACCTTGCTCAGGAGCCCCTCTGCTGGGCTGGGGTCTGCTGTCCTCCCAGCCACTTGGAGGCCAAGCCACTGCCGTCTTGTTCCATCTCAGGGCCTGGCCCTATCCAGCTGGGTGTGGGGTACCCTCCAGTGCTGCCTTTGTCCCACCATGAGACCCCAAGCTCTCCAAGGGCAGCCCAGTGCCCAGCACTGGTTCTGGGCATTGTTGCTGGGGAGCTTGGCGCCCTTTGTCCTGAGACAAAACCTGACCTGGGTGAGTTGACAGTTTTGAGTCAATGGTATAGGGTCCCTATCTGCCACCAAGACTGCACCCTGTTCCTCTCCCCACAATGGTGCTGGGCCAAGTACCTGGGTGCAGGCTAAATTTGCCCAGCTCACTGTCCAGCTCCCAAGGGCAGCAAGTATATTTCTCCAGAATATTCCCACTCATGCCTTCCTCCAGGCCCACCTGGCAGCCTGGCCCGGCTTGACTGTCCCCCTTAGGGACACAAATGGACACATGGCCTAACTGCCAGGTGCCCAGCCCTTAGCTTTCTCTGGAACAGGTATCGCCACACTTTCAATCCTGTGGTCATTTTGAGCTGGAGAACCCAGTTGGCCTGCCTGCCTTCTGCTTCCAATTTAAGTGGGGTGACCACATACCTCAGCTCACACCTTCCTCTAGTCCAATCAGCAGCAACTCCTCTCGCAGTGACTTGCTGTGGTCTGGGTGCTAAGTTAAATAGTGACCCACATGTGCAGGCTTAGGCCTGAAGTTTCCACGTCTCTCTCACTCCGGGGTTCACATCCCGAGCCCCTCAATGCCACCTCTCCCCAAACTCCTTTCCCTACAGGAGGCCTGGCCCTGGCAGTGCTGCTGATCTCCTGGGCAGCATTGGGTCCCTGTGGCCTGGAGGGAGTGGAGCCTGGAGTGCCAGGGGACACTGAGGGCCTGCAGTGCCCGGCCATCTGTACCTGCGGCCACGACGACTACACGGATGAGCTCAGCGTCTTCTGCAGCTCCCGGAACCTTACACAGCTGCCCGGCGGCATCCCAGACAGTGCCAGGGCCCTGTGGCTGGATGGCAATAACTTCTCCTCCATCCCCGAGGCAGCCTTTCGGAACCTCTCCAGCCTGGGCTTCCTCAATCTCCAGGGCAGTGGGCTGGCCAGCCTGGAGCCGAAGGCACTGCTGGGCCTGCAGAACCTGTACCACCTGCACCTGGAGCGGAACCAGCTGCGCGGCCTTGCGGCCCGCACCTTCCTGCACACACCAGGTCTCGCCTCACTTGGCCTCAACAACAACCTCCTCAGCAGAGTGGATGAGGGCCTCTTCCACGGCCTGGCCAACCTCTGGGACCTCAACCTTGGCTGGAACAGCCTGGCCGTGCTCCCTGACACCGTGTTCCAGGGTCTGGCCAATCTGCGCGAGCTGGTGCTTGCAAGCAACAAGCTGACCTACCTGCAGCCCCAACTCTTCCATGGCCTCAGCGAGCTCCGGGAGCTGGATCTGAGCAGGAACGCCTTGCGAAGCATCAAGGCCAACATCTTTGTCAAGCTGCCCAAGCTCCAGAAGCTGTACCTGGACCACAACCATATCACCGCTGTGGCTCCGGGTGCTTTCCTGGGCCTGAAAGCACTGCGTTGGCTGGACCTGTCACACAACCGTGTGGGCAGCCTCCTGGAAGACACCTTCCCAGGCCTGCTGGGCCTGCACGTCCTGCGCCTCTCACACAACACTATCGCCAGCCTGCGACCCCGGGCCTTCAAGGACCTGCACTTCCTGGAAGAGCTGCGGCTGGGCCACAACCGCCTCCGGCAGCTGCCGGACAAGGCCTTTGAGGGCCTGGGCCAGCTGGAGGTGCTCACACTCAATGACAACCAGATCCAGGAAGTCAAGGCGGGGGCCTTCTTCGGCCTCTTGAACCTGGCCGTCATGAACCTCTCTGGCAATTGTCTGCGGAACCTTCCAGTGCGAGTGTTCCAGGGCCTGGCCAAGCTGCACAGCCTGCACCTGGAAGGCAGCTGCCTGGGCCGCATCCGCCAGCACACCTTCGCCGGCCTCTCGGGGCTTCGCCGACTCTTTCTCAAAAACAATGGCATCACGGCCATCGAGGAACAGAGCCTGTGGGGGCTCCCTGACCTCCTGGAGCTGGACCTCACCTCAAACCAGCTCATGCAACTGCCCAGTCAGCTCTTCCAGGGCCTTGGGAAGCTGGAATACTTGCTCCTGTCCCGCAACCGGCTGTCTACACTGTCAGCAGAAGTCCTGGGGCCCCTGCAATGCACCTTCTGGCTAGACATCTCGCACAACCACCTGGAGGCCCTGCCCGAGAGCATCCTTTTGCCACTGAGGCAGCTGCGCTACCTCAGCCTCAGGAACAACTCGTTGCGGACCTTTGTGCCACAGCCTCCTGGCCTAGAGCGCCTATGGCTGGAGGGCAATCCCTGGCACTGTGGCTGCCCTCTCCGGGCCCTGAGGGTCTTTGCCCTGCAGCACCCCACTGTCGTGCCCCGCTTTGTCCAAGCCATCCCGGAAGGAGACTGCCAGCCACCCATGTATACCTACAACAACATCACCTGTGCCAGCCCCCCCAGCATCTTGGGACTTGACCTACGTGATGTTGGTGAGGACCACTTTGCTCACTGCTGATCCAAGGCTTGTCCAGGCCAGATACTGCCCTGGAATCAGGACAAGCCCTCGCCGTCCCTGGAGACGGTTGGGCACCCTACTCCTCAGCTCCTGGGGGGTCAGGCCCCACACTGTTCACTTGTTGGGATCTCTTCCTCAGGGAACACAGTCCCAGGGCTTTGCTGGCCTGGTCCCTCAGGGCCAAATCTGGAGGGTTGGGGGCACAGCCCTCCCCAGCTGTCATCTATTAAAAACAATCAAATAAACTGCCTGTGAGCACAGGGATGAAATCTGGGGAAGGGGAGGAAAGCATCAGCCTGGATACCTGTGGAATCCCCTCCTGATGCCAGCTCAGCCACCCCATGGCTGCCTCAGTCCCTTACACCCTCCTACCTCTCCCCCTGGGCTTGGACTCTTCATGCCTTCCCAGCCTGGGCCCTCCCAGGATGCCCACTTCCGCCTACGGGGCGGGCACTTACTCCGATCCTCGTTTGGCAGGTTGGTGGAGGCAGCCTAGTCCTGAGAAGCCGGAGCACAGCAGAGGCAGCCTCTGCTCCAGGAGGTCCAGCAGTTAGTGTCAACCGGGACCAGAGTGGGTGCCAATCCTCTCTCCAGACCCCCCTTCTCCCAGCCAAACCCCTTAATGGCGCTTCATTCTCCCCACTCTTCCTCTTGGCACAGCTCCCTTCCTCAGTACCCCAACACCCCCAGGAAGTAGTACCAGAGGCTGCCTCCCCAGACCCCTGCCATCCCCACCCGAGTTGCCATGTCTCCTCTCACAGCCCTTCTTCCCTTGGAAAGGGCAGCCCCTCGCCTCTCTTCTGCTTTCCAGAACGGACTTCCCTCCTGCCTTCCTGGGGAAGGTGCAGGAAGAGCCCTGGGACTGACTGCACTTCGCACTTCTCTCTGCTCTTAGCTCAGCCCCCAGGTGCCTGCAGTGTGGAGGGCGGGCAGTAGGTAGCCCTGCCTGCTTGCCAAGGGCCCCCACACACACGTTTCTCTGACACCACAAATTCCTCTGCAAACACATCCTCACCCTGGCCCTCAGGGGCCTGCTGATAACCAGCCTACTGGCCTGGCCCCTGGGACTTAGGGTGAACTCTGTCTGCTACAGGACAGAGCCATACACTAAGGCAGAGGCTGGACCAAGGCGGAATGACCTAGAAACGTAAGACTTATAACTGTGGTAGCGGGACACATTTAATTGTGGGCACCTCTGAAGTTAGTACCTTACAGGGTGCTCCCTTCCACGACCATAATCACTCACAGCCCTGCCAGCAGCCAGGCACTTGAGGACGACAAAGTCCCCAGCCAGCTTCCAGACCCACAAGCTTTGTGGACAATGTGGAGACTCGGGTATCAGGAGTGGCCTGTCTGGGGCACATGAGCACCACAACATGAAAAGTGAAGATGCAGGGACCAGAGCTCAGGCCATGGAACTAGGACCCCACACTGTCCCTGGGGTCTGCCACAGACCAAGCCAGCAGAACCACTCATTGTTGGGGGCTCTGGCGCCCAGATGCTGCTGAAGAGCGAAACATCTCCCAAGGGCCCGGGCAGAGAGAGGTGTACACAGTGACAGCCCCACAGGCCAGCCCTGCAGGTTCTAAGAACCGCACCCATGACCTCTGCTCAAGTCTGTGAGCTCCAGCCCCACAGTGGTGCCAGGGTGCCAGGAGATGCCTTGGTCAGGAGAGCTGAGCAGGTGTCTCCAAAACCTTCTGGACTATGGCGGAGAGTGCATGAAAGGCAGGGCTTTGGGGAAACTCTTGGATGAAGTCTCGGCCCTCCTCCAGGCTCCTCGTGAGCTTGGGGTCCAAGGGCACAGAGCCTGCAAAGACAGAGGGAAGGGGGCCAGGTAAAGGGGTAAGGTGGTGAGAAGAGGCCTGGGAGGCCATGCTCATACGCCTAACGCTCCCCAGGAGCCACTGTCAAGCTGCTTTAGCCCAGAGCAGACACCCATCAGCCTCGCTCTGGCTGAGGTACCTAGAAGGGCTCTTGGGCTCAATTTCCATCTCGACGGCCCCAGTCCAGGTCTGCTGCCTCAGACTCTGCCCACTTGTAGAAAGTGCAAGACAGGCACTGGGGACACATGGTCATGCACCACTGGTGTCTCCCCCACCCTCCACCCCATAGAGGTGCTCCCAGAGCCAGAGCCACAGCCTTCTGATGGGGTCACAGCAGGACTGCTCAAAGCCTGGGTGGTACCGCCCATCTCTTCAGTTGGTTAGCAGTGATCGGCATTAGAGATGAACTGATACATCTTCCCCCACTGTGGGCAGTGGGCATAGGCAGGTGGGACCACCTGAAGCAGAGGCCAAGGGGCAGCCCTGACCCACTCACCTAGGAAGGGAACTCCAGCATGCCTGGCCAGCTGCTCGCCGCCTCCCCTGGAGAAGATGTTAGTGCACTCCTAGGATAGAGGCACAGGGTCCACCTGAGGACTCTCTCCACACTCGGGGAGTGGGGTCCAGGCCCAGGGAGCGGTGGGGGGGACGACGACCACACAGCGGCACCTCTGTCCCCCCATCACCCCACACTCCCCACGGGTAATTGCCTCACAACTTACCGTGCAGTGTGGGCAGACAAAGCCACTCATGTTCTCCACAATACCGATCACCCGCAACCCGGTCTTCCTACAGAAGGTCAGCTCCCGCCTCACATCCCCAACAGACACCGCCTAGTGATCAGGGAAGAGCCGGGACAGGCAATGGGAATCCTGAACTCTCAGCCAAGAAGAGCTTAAAGAGCAAGGAGAGGTGCCTGCCTGGGTGAGGTGGCACACTGGGAAACAGGACGATGCTCTGCAGTACCTGGGGTGTAGTGACCACGATGGCCCCCAGGGGGTTGTAGGGACGGAGGGCTTCAACAGCAGCCATGTGCTCATCAGAGGTCCCTGGGGGCGTGTCCACAACCAGGTAGTCCAGCTGCCCCCAGGCCACGTCAGACACAAACTGCTTTATCAGAGCTGCAAAGACCCAGGGAGGTCAGGTGGGAGGGGTCTCCCCACACCCACCACCTCCAGGGCGGAGCATCTCTACAGGTATGGAGAGCACGAGGGCTCCAAGCTGCCCATCAAACAGACTGTATGTGTGGGGGGCACGGCACAGCAGGGGACTCTCATTCCTGTCCCCTACAAGCACCCCTTTCTTCCCAGGTGCTGGGCCACCTCACCCTGCAGGACTTATACTCAGGCCTCAATAAGAGGCCAGCTGGAGCTGTGACCCTCCTGGGGCGCCTGTGCCCAGCCTTGGGGGCACTTCAGCTTTCACAGCCCAAGAGATGACCTGAGTGGAGCAGCCCCCATCCTGTGCCCGATACACCTGCAGACTCACTGCCAGGTGGAGGGGCCTTAATGCCTCCTGCCGGTGCACAGGCTCCAGAGCACAACCTTGGTGCCTCCCCCTCTAGCCCCCCCAACACACATAGGGTGGGGCTCAGGTCTGAGCAGACCCACCCTTCCTAGGCAGGGGAAGGGTGCTCCATAGTTGATGACCACATACCTGTCTCACTCTCATGGCCCACACCCGCCATCTGGATACCAGCATCACCACCGGGCCTGACTGGTCAAGTGAGCAGCAGGAGGCCCGTGGGGTGGGGTGGGCCAGCAGCTCCAGGCTCTGGCTAGGCTTTTTAATGGAGGACTGAGTGATCAGCCAAGGGAGGCTGGGAGGCTGACAGTGCAGTCCCCTGCCTGTCATTACCGTTCTTCTTGGGGCCTCTCCACACCACAGCTTCATCCGGCTTCTCCAGCAGGAAACCCACAGACATGAGGGAGACTGTCTGCTCTTGGTCCACAAAGACAGGCACCCAGCCGCTGTCACACTGGTGCACGGCCCTGCCCTGCGCCTGGAGCATGCGGGGGATGCTGGGGCCACACAGGTCCACGTCGAGAATCCCCACCTGCAAGGAGCCAGTACGCCCGCATGGTAGGTAGGGGTCCCCCAAGGCAGTAGGAAACCAGCTGGCTTCCCTGTGTCCATCCAGAAGGGGGAGGAGCAGGACCGGCT